CGTAGCTGCATTGTCTGGCTGAGCTATGGAGTACCAAGTGACAGGGGAAGACATTGAACCGAAGGAAGTCACTCCAGACCAAGGCTAGCAGACCGCCTCGTGTCGCCCAGCGCTAGCCCAAAATGAAGGTTCCAAATGTGCATCGTCATATAGCACTTGAAAACGCAACGAACACAAGCCCCGCAGAAACGAAAATGTGAAGAACAAGATTAGTCAAGCAAGCCAAATGCCTCAACTACCTAAGGACGACGTCCGCATCATCATTAGACCCAGAGGGAGTCTAACATCGCTAATGTTGTCCTAACAACAATCGCTGGAGCCTTTTCGACTTCTGCAGGTACCAGCCCCATGGTACAGCAAGCAGACCCGCTTAGCCCCAATATTAAACAGATTATCTTAGTGGCAAGCACCGAAGAGAGGAAATGCTAATCGCTACGTGTGCATTGGAGAAATCCGCATCGCTGACCATACCGATGAAGTTAGTGCCTACGAAGCGGCACCATATTCTACATGCAAAGACGTCATTCGAGGAGTTGCCGTGCAAGGCGGGTCGGCGGATATTGATGCGAAGATTGTCAACGACCGCAATCCACTAACCTTGGCTGCCAAGCACATCGGAAGTGTCACCGCAGTGATCATGGCCATCGATGGACATCGCTCGCCCAGTTTTGTGCGAAACGGATCGGTGCTACTTCAATGTACACTATACCATAGACAGATGGATATTTGCTATGCCTGCGGTCAGCTCGGTCATCGAGTGGACATTTGCACGAACCCTGGAGACATTATATGCCGAGGCTGCTGTGTGCCGAACATCAAAAAAGGACTGCTGTACACCAACATGCAAGCTTTGCGGAGGAGCCCACCCCACTGCTGACAATGAATATAAACAACGCTACCTTATTTCATACGTTGTGCGACGACGAGGATGGGAACGAGCCCACTCGGCGTGACACAACAACGGCCGTGAAGCAATGAAGAGTTCAACGCAACCACTGACGATGACCAAGCCTCGAAGCTTTCGGCAGACGGCCGATCCGGTGGCAGCCGATCCCAGTCTCGATCCTGGAGTCGTCCCAGAAACCGCACCATGCGTGCATCGAGGTCCCGGAGCAACCCTCGGACCGATTCCCGCAGTGCGTGAAGTGGGACCCCAACCAGGTCCATACCGTGGGGCTACTCCAAATCTCAATTTGGCTCATGTCCCGGTTCTCGTCCAAGTACCCAGCCCGGTTCACGCTCCAGATTCCACTGCTGTTCCGAGCATCACGCTGGTTCTATACTCACCCCAGTCTCACCGGGGCCTCCCGTGAACAATCGCCCAGCCTATCGGCACCACCATTGGCAGGCATTGCCAACAGGAATAAGCGGGGAACTGTCACTGGGGCGGACGCCGTCCAGGAAAAAGAGAACACTACATCGCCGGTAGAACCAGGTTCACCCCCAGAGAACGATGCACACACCACATCTGAGATAGCGTTTTTCGATCTACGAAAATGTGCTGATGAAAGAAACAATACGCAAATTCACAGTCGCAATCGCCGAACTGAAGAAATGACAGAAACGCACGCGCTGCTACGCTCAACACCGACAACGATGGTAGTGCAGTCCCCCCATTGCAGCCGCAACCCGTAGGCGCCGGTAACGACAACGGTGAGAATGCACCCAAGAATTGCGTGATTGCCCACGACCAGCCAGCTTTAAAGGCAAAGTTAGATGGCATTAGGAGCACACTATCGGTGATTAAACAATGCGATCGCTTTCTTGGCGAAAGCATGGCTCTCGTGCAGTCTTCCCTCGCGGTCCATGGTAATAGGTTGGGCCAAGTGGAGCAATACCTCGATCACGTCGTTGCCCCTGCCATTGCCAAGGTTAAGCCGTTGTCGCAACATACAGCCATGCCCAGTCCACCACTTCGCGCGGCCTTTATGCACCCACCGGTAGCTCAGGCCGTCTCCTACATGCTTCAAGATGGCCAGGCCAAATGATGAGCTGCGAATCTAGCAATAGAGCTGCAGGAGCTTTGCACAATAGAAAGCCTTCCTGCAGCAATACTTCTTTAGCTATGAAGCCAAACCTCACATCAAGCTGTTACAAGAGACTGTAGTACCAACCGCATTGTTTTCCCAATACCAGTGGTTGCCAGGCCCCTCGAGAGGACCCTGGTCGCTCAAAAGATTATCTGTACAGCACACTGTCTTAATGTGCCCGAAATTAAACATGTTATGATCAAAATGCTCCCTGGCAACACATCATAACAAAGCATGCACATCCTCAAGGTATACAGTAGTCCCAGCCATCATAGACAAAAGTCCACATGCTTGTTCTAGAAAGCCGTGCGCCTCGCAGGGCCAAACGCGCTAGTGATTGCGGGTGATTTTAACGCCATCCTTAGCGCCTGGCGCTACGCGTACGACACACCCAAAGGCAACGAGCTTTGAAAAAATACGAATGACAAGTACCTTGTTCACATCACGGACAAGGCCGTTCTCCCACGCACCGGTAAGTTCACGCAAAGACACGCTACGCAGGATCTCTGCTTCGTCGAAAATGCCGCCGACGCCCGCTGGTCCAACATCGCAGTAGATCTCGGTAGCGACCACTCATATTGGCCGTGCACCTCACCACATTGAGCAGGAAGACCAAGTCGTACACGTGGGTGGACAGGGACATCCTTCGTGGAACCCGCGCAGAACAACCTCCTCTCGATACCACACTGAGCCTCGAGACGTGGACGACCCAGCTGAAAGCTGACATTAACAAGGCAACAAAAACTATCAGTCTGGACCATCCAACCGAAAAGATGGACAGTCGTCTCGCCCACCTACTCGAGGCTAAACAGTCTCTACTGGCACGGCGGAAGGGCCAGCACCTTATTTGGAGGTTACGCAAACGCACATCTCAGCTGAACAAGACCATGATGGATCATTGCCGCATCCTTTCAAAACAGCAGTGGGACGACGTTTGTAACTTTATTGATGGTCAGGTTCATAATTGCAAAACGTTGAACTTAGTCAAACACCTCCTTATTGAAACCAACACACGCACGAATCAGCGTCTTTCGGTCGTGAAGCTACTTCATCATTATAATTGGACAGTATCATCGAAGGATGTTGTCAAGAACCTCATGGAGAAATATCTCCCGTTTCTTATCGGCCCTGTGACCCCTCACCTGATTACTCTGGTAGCGACAACGCCAGCTTAAACTACTTTTATACCGAAGATGTGCGCCGAGCTTTCCATGAGCTCAATGGCCGCTCTGACCCTGGCCCCGATGTCATGACCAACAAGCTCATACGCAACCTGGACGATTCCTCCGTCCCTTATCTCACTGATACTATCAACTAAATATGAATAAAGGGTGAGACACCCAATCCCTGGAAACTAGCTCACGTGGTCCTCATCCCGAAACGGGGAAAAACGACAAGCCCTGACCACCCATGCCCCATATCTCTCACGTCGTGCGTGTGCGAGGTGGCTGAGCACGTCATCTTCAACGGGGTTGGTCGTTACCTCAAAGGTAACGACTGCCTCCCGCCACACATGCTTGGCTTCTGACCAGGGTTATCCACTCAAGACGCCATGTTCCTCCTAAAGCATTCTAGGTGGCGGGATCACTCGGGACACTCGTGCAATACTCTGTCTCGATTTAAGAAAGGCATTCGGTACCATAACGCACTTGTCAATCTCGAAAAAGATTGCAGCCATCGGCCTGAGGCATCGATTCAACTACTTTGTCCACTCTTTTTTAGATCGACACAGAACCATCCTCTACGTGGGAGATCTAGTGTCGGAAGAAGTGGAGCTTGACCAGTGGGGCACTCTTCAAGGATCCGTCCTCTCGCCGACGCTCTTTAACCTTGTGGTGATAGCGCTTCCTGAACGACTTTCAAAAATCGATGGGCTCCACCACCCTATCTATGCGGATGATAGAACCATTAGGTGCTCGACAAGGTCGGACGGTTTCATTGAGTCCGCCCTGCGAGAAGCCATCGCCAGCGCCGAGGCCTACCTTGAACACACCGGTCTCAGGTGCTCACCCGCGAAGTCGTAGCTGTTTATATATTTGCCCAAACGCCGGGGTACCAAGCCCAAAGGGTGGAAAACTCCCGCGGAACTCAATATCACCCTCCACACCAGAGATGGTCGTACAGTCCCCAGGGTAGACACCATCAAGGTCCTCGGCATGATCATCGAGTCCCGCGGAACCAACACGCAAACAGTACACAAGCTCAGGACTAAGATTAAGTATGCCATACGACCAATACGTATTGTAGCCTACCGGCTACATGGCATCAAAGAAGACAACCTGATGCGTCTTGTACACGTGTTTATTTGTGCCATTTTACCTTCGTTGGCGCTATACACAAATGTCTATGTTCTGAGCACGATAACCTCAATGCGCTTATTTGCAAGGTAGTCAAACGAGCCCTTTGGCCTCCTCAAGCTTGGCGTCAAGCTCCTCAAGCTTAGCGTCATAACACGCTAGAAGGGATCACCGAATCTCAGGAACGCGTGATATTGACCCGACTCACCACCACCAAGACGGGCCGCCATATTCTGCGCGAGCTCGGCTTCGTCTCCTCGACAGCCAGGGACCCCCCAAAAGTTTACTTTCATCTTATTTCTTGTGAAATCCGCGAACTTATCACAATCGCTTCCATTCCGCGAAATGTACACCCCGAATACAACAGTGGCAAGTGCCTTGCGCGGGCGACCGCCATTTGCAAGCGCATTGACATGGAAGCAGACAACGACTAGTTCATGGACGCCACTGCCTATCATAACAATCGAGCCTTCGCCGCGGTCACAGAATCATACGCGCAGTAGATTCTTAACTCAGCCACATTCCTCACCCGAAACTCAGAAGTAACGGGGCAAGTAGCTAAAGCTAAAGGTATGCTCGACAGCGAACGGGAGCTCATCTACAGCGACTCCAGACCGGCCATGAAGCCTTCGAATGTGCAGTCATCTCCGACCAGGCGTTTTGTATCCTGCAGAAAGCAGACCCGAGTGCCCTGAAGCACCACACTGGGATGTGGTTCCGTGCCCATCTCGGCCAGGTGTCATGTTGCCCATCTAACCTCAACGTGATCGCCATGATGCAGCGCACGCACTTACCGACCACGCTGCCGCAAGGCAAACCTATCTCGCTGAGTTGTAGACCAATCGGGATGCACCCATTACAGGGACGAGAAGAGGTGGCTGGGTGCTGCTGCTGCTGCTGCCGCGGCAGAGGGCCTGATCAAGGAGAAAATCAACATACTTTGAGCATGGCAGGTGAGTCAAGCGTAGCGCCGCCTCCAAGCGACCAGCACCAACGTCGAGCACAGCTAGTGAGCCAAGTGGTGCACCGTCTCCAAGCGACCAGCGCCCACGTGACTCACACGGCGAGCGAACTTTTCACGTAACTACTTTCCCTTCCTTAGCTCGCGAACTCTCTTTAAATGCGTGTTTACCCATGTGTGGTAAGAAATGTAAATGGAAGTGTGAACGTGTCTTTGTGTACTGGTGTGCTGTCTGGATGTCTCTTCTGCAGTGGTCTGGCCCCTTGAATAACATCACACGGGGCACTAAATTATCTAGAGCTTAACTGCACTTCGGTTGACAACTTCCTAAATATCTGTGTGCAATATATTTGTAAAATTATGAGTCAGGTAGGGAGAGCAATATAATTCAATGACAATAATTAGTCCAGTTTACCGCACACAAGTCTCCAGAGGAAATGAGAAATACTAGAATGTCTTTATTTTTCTGATTGAGATATTTAACACGCAGACAAAACAGACTGGTATGAAAAAACCAATACTTCCATGGACAAATTGATACCTGCTTACAATTAGCAATTATGAAAACGCAGAAGTTAGAGGCTTTTATTCGCAAATTGGACCAAAGTAAAAACAGTAACAGAAAAAAATACTTTCCTTCAGTTCATCTAGAAGATCCTGGTGGCGACTTTAGCTCGTAGGCGAAAATAAAACATGCGCACGCTGGAAACTCATGCACTCTGATGTATGTTATTGGCTCAGCAGCCGCGGGAACCCTCACTAAAGGCGCCCTCTCATGGTACACTGTGAACAAAGTTATACCCAGCTGGAAGGAATCCAGGAAGGATGCGCTCGCTCTGCTCCGGTGGCCTCGCTCAAACCAGATTGTACCGGAGAAACTACTTTCGTTTTCCCCCGCTTTCCTCCGGTGATCACCGGACGAAGGAAACCGGAGGAAAACCGGGCCAATCCTCTGACTTTCCTCCCGCAGTTCCACCGGAAATGCTCCCACGCATCGCTTTTTTATTCAATGGATGCTCCCCAATTGCTCCGGGCTATCGCCCACGGGTATTCATTGCCTGTTCAGGAGTGACGTAGGCAGCCTCGTCGCCGGGAGGCCGTTCCCCACAAACCAACATGGCACAGAGCAAGCCGGTGCAGTGAGGATTGTGCGAAGCGTTCGGTCGCGTTGGAGAAAAAAATTGTTTTGAGCACCTTCTGGATATCACAAGCGACAAGCAGCAACAAAGGTTGTCAACGACAGAAGGGAGTTCTGCGAACGGTAATCCTGTGATGGTTCTTGGAAGTAAACGACACATTGTAACCTCGCGAGTGTTGAGGGACCTGGTGGTAGCTGGTGCGGCGAAAAATGGTGAGTGAGGTTTCCTTTATTCACCTGTGTTATACTTGTCAGGTAGTGCTCAGATTTGCTAGTGTTGGGTTGATAATCCAAACACGTGAATATTATTGAGCTAATTTCACAAGACGATATTGCGTTGTTTGGACTGCGCGTTTTTTTTAATGTACCTTCGGGAAAGAAAAACGGAGAGGTGAGTGAGTTGGTACAGATTCATTATGGCGTAAATGTAGCACAAAAAGTGAACACCACAAACGCTTCTGGTTTTTCGCTTTCTTGTACTCGTCCTGGTTTGTGCAGCATTAGCGCCATGATACCTTCGGTAAATTGGATGAAGTCGCTGTAATATCTGGAGCACTGATTACATACGCAACAATAGAAAATATTCAAGTTTTAAGTTGATTCTATCAAACGATAATAGTTTTTTAGGTAAACCTGAATGTTTAAAAGATATTTTTGGTCTCGTCAGTACACATATTTGTCCGCTTTCGGAGAGAGAGAAAGAGAGTTTATTTACAGAAAGGTAGAGAGGTCGGCCTGAGCTTGTCCGCTTTCAATATCAATAAATGCCAGGTGAGCTCTACCATTGCGTAATAACTATTTTATAGAATATGTAGGCTAAACTAATAAAACTTGAGTAACTAAAATCAGTGTGAATTCTTTTTAAAGGTAGTGAATTGAGGTAGGGCAATGTAAATCATACAAGCTTTTAGAACACCTGAATCGCAGCAGTGGCAGCTGCATTTCCGATGGAGGCGGAAATGTTGTAGGCCCGTGTGGTCAGATTTGGGTGCACGTTAAAGAACCCGAGGTGGTCGCAATTTCCGGAGCCCTCCACCACGGCGTCTCTCATAATCATATGGTGGTTTTGGGACGTTAAACCCCACAAATCAATCAATCAATTTAGAACGTATACACGCACTCATACTTGTGAAAAAGTTATTTTCGTTGGATAAGTGGTATATGAGATATTAATCTGCAAGCGCACTAGGCTCTTTGAGGAACGTGGGGCTTTCAAGAAAAGAGAGAGAGGGTTGAAACAAACTGACGATGCTACAGACGAGGAATGCAAAAAAAAGAAAAAGACGGGTTGCTTGGTAGAACGAGTCGTGCAGCGCTCGACATTTCTGTAAAAGGGGGAGAAGTAGTAAAGTTGACCCATTTCACAGACTGGCTCAACATTGTAAGAAGGAGGCGATATTGTAGTGCAAGGAAGAAAGAAAGGAGAAGGCACCCTTTCAAAAAACTAGCCGTATTTTCTGTGTTGGTAATGGGAGAGGTTACTTTCCTAGCTGCTGCATTTTTTCTTTCTCTTTCCAGTCGTGCTGCCGTGGCTGTGACTGCAGTTTTTTTTTTTTTTTGAAGACGGGAGTGCGAACAGTGCTGAGAAGTAGTGTGTACCTGGAAAATTCAATGACACTGGTTTGCGAAAAGAATGGAAAAGAACATTTCTTCAAGCCTGGGACACTCATCATGACGCTTGCATGTGCATCAACTTCTGCGGCCTCCTAACATGTGCACGGACCATTCAGTTGAATAAACTGGTCGGCCATCTCTTATTTCTTGAAAATGCAGTAGGCTTAGGTGGCGTATTGTTCGTGCCTTTCGTTGATAATTTAATTTTACGTTGTAGTGAACTTTTCTTTCTTTTGTGCTTGTTTAAGCTGTTGGTCTTGCAGAAATACGTGCTCATACAATAACTACTTTGAAAAATGTTCACAACGACAAGTACGAAAACAGAGTGGGCAGCTTCAAATAAAAAATAAAGCAATGCCTACGTCTCGAAACATATTTTACAAAGAAGATGAAGCTAGGCTTTTCTTAAAGACATGCCGTAACCATGCATACTGTAAGGGCACACTTTGCTAAAAGTATGACAATGAGTACGCACTAAATAGCCCCGCCGCGGTGGTCTAGTGGCTAAGGTACTCGGCTGCTGACCCGCAGGCCACGGGTTCGAATCCCGGCTGCGGCGGCTGCATTTCCGATGGAGGCGGAAATGTTGTAGGCCCATGTGCTCATATTTGGGTGCACGTTAAAGAACCCCAGGTGGTCGAAATTTCCGGAGCCCTCCACTACGGCGTCTCTCATAATCATATAGTGGTTTTGGGACGTTATCACACATATCAATCGAGTACGCACTAAATTACGACTATACTATTCACAAATATTATTTGATAAAGTTAAAAAATTATTGGGAGGGGCATTGCTGATGGTGTCTACAAGAGTACTGAAATAAGATTATTTTAGTAAAAATTTGCTTTTAAATGTTTCAGCAAAGGTAAAGCTATCAGTTTAGAAATATATAGAAAACTTTGCCCAGTTTTGAACTTTGTTCAAAACTGGGCAAACTGGGCGGCTTTCTCACACTGGAATACATCGAATGTGCTTCTTGGTATTGAATGCTAATCCGGTCTTTGTGCGTGCGTGCGTGCGTGTGTGTGTGTGGGGGGGTCAGTTTTGAAATTCGCTTCTTCTCATAGACTCACAAACTGTATAGTGCGTGTGGCCCAGTTTCCGCACCTCTCACATGATTTGCAGTTCTCTTGTATAATTATTTTTGCTCAATTATGCAGGAAGCAATCAGCTCAACCCTTGCGTCCTGAGTGAGTTCGATGGATGGTCTTTCGGGGAAGGTTAAAAGTTGTTCTCAGTGGCCACACTTTCTTCGTTTGTCGTGCATCGTTTTGAAGCATTATGCAGTTCATTTTGAAGCGCTGCGCTTCCAACTTAAGTGCTGTTGATTTCATCTGATCTGTCTTATTTGTTTTGTTTTTGGTGGCTTTTCGCATGTTAGTTTACTCAAGTCTCTTTTTTCTAAATGCTGGGTAATCATCCAAAATTGGCATGTTATTTTGAATAAAGCAAGGAACAAAAATTCAAGTGTTTCTTTGAATTTCATCTGCTATAGCTCTGTAGAATTAAATACACAGTACCTCAGCAGTCCTTGCATAAGAATAGGAACTTCCTTCATTTAACCAATGCGTGACACGATCATCATACAATAAATAAAGAGCGCAGGAAACACTTTAAAAAGTTCTGATCTACCTTACTGAAGTTCTGTCCGGATGAATTAGGTACATTCCTAAAATACTCCGGATGTACCCCACAAAAGGTCCGGATAGCCGTAGTGAAAAAGGCGGTGTGAATTCTCCGGGGTGCCACGTAATTGGTTTGCCAGCTGAAGGGAAATGCCAGTAAAAAGTACTTCGGTGGCACAACGCAATTTCTCCGGATGTCCGGAGGAAAAATTTTTCCAAATAGGGGAGACGCTAGAGGACAAGTGTTTTACTCCGACCTCGGAGTAATATTTTTACAGTGTAGCCAGGCCCGCGAGGCGATACTCGTTGGCATGGAGGAAGGAATGACCTGAACAGAGGTTGTTACGTCACATTTTATGAAGCCGCAAGTAGAGTACTCCTCCTCACACTTGTGAGCACGCTACGGCGGCTCGCGCATGCGCAACGGGCGCCAGTGCAAAGAAGGCGAAAGGAAGGAATACGTGACTGCTTTTG